TAAATCATTATATGCCTTTAAATAATTTTAGAGCATCAGAGCATGTCACGTGTTTCGGTAGCCTAGGTGACTAATAGGTTAATCAGGCTAGCAGGAGCGAAGAGAAGACACGTTGCTGTGCGATTTATGGAAAAAAGGAGGCTTAATCCTGCACAATTTATTTAATAGAACCCTTTGGGAAAGCGGAGCGAGGTATGTGAAGTTAATATTTAAGTCACATGAGTTCATTTGTATGTATATGTTAATCGTGAGCTCTGCCTTCTTATTAGTTGTTTCAAACTGTCGTTATATACTTCATTGTTTCACTTTCATATGTCGCTCTGTACATTATATCTTTATTTGTCGTATTATTCTGTATACAAGTTGTTTTTATTGATTTTTTGTTGTTTCTTTGTGTAGTTTCACGGTGCTACGCAACGAAAGTTTAATGGCTCTCGTCTTGAGCAAAATAAAGAATCAAGCACCCGTCAGAAACTCTCTGTCTCGTTCATGGAAACCAAAGGGCATCTACACTGCTTAATAACTCCTGGTCAAAGAGCAGTAGACGTATTTGTAAATGTATTTTTATTTAATCTTTACAGTTTCGTTGATGACATGAACAGGATGTACTGCATAGATCTGACAGCTCCGTGGCTCAGTGAAAGAATAAAACGTCTAGAAGAGGTGAGAACTTACAGATACTGTAATATGGAACCGTTGTAATTTAATAAAATACAAAAACCTCTTATAGGTTTATCCAAACAATCGTACAGAGCTCAGCATAAATGAGTAAACCCACTTCTGAAAATGAATGTTCTTATACATTTTTTTAGTCAATATAGGTAATAAATTCTGGTGCATTTGACCAAAATAGATTTTATAAAAATAAAAAACAATTATAAAATAATATTTTTGTCACTAAACATCTTTAGAATTAGAAAGATAACAAATAAAAATAAAAATTACAAACTACAAAATTTCAACTAAATTTGATATATTGTGGTTTCTTAGACTGAATTTAATATTTTTCTCAAACAGATAAATATGGGTGTACGAGTTTATGGAGTGTTATAGTACGTTACTTTGTTAGACTAGATTTGGCTTCAGTACTGACCAAACTGATATATATTGTAAAGCATCCTATTAAAAATATTAATTTAAAAGATAGATTTGCGTGGGGTGTAATAGTATATGCTAAGCACTGTATATTGGCATATCAAGTGCAAACACACAGATTTTCTTCTGTTTTTATTTAACAGGATGGAGTACAGTGTATAAATAAACCTAATAATGCACACACTGGGACTGGACATCTGTGAACATCAACCAGAACGTGATCTTCACTATGCAGGAACTACAGAAGAAAGAGATTTTCATACAGTCATGTTATACTGTACTGCAAAATTCTACTTTAAACTGTAAATGCATGATTCTATGCAGGAAAAAAATATGTTGAATCTATTGCACAAAGAAAATAATTTGCCATTTTCTTTTCTTTTTTCTTTGCTCTCTGCCATGTAGTCTAACTGTGGTTATCACTTTGTCTTGTCTTGTATTTTTTCTTTTTCTTATATTATTTTAATGCATTACCCAGTTTCAATAAAACTGTTTTTGCTTAATATATTTGGTTTTGTTTAGTTAATAATATTTTAATTTTCTCAATTATGACATCAGTTCAATTTCTAAACATAAAGTGCTTAAGTTTTTGGCATTTGGGGGGTAAAATAGATATATTTATGTAGTTTTAAGTTTGATGTTGGAGAAAATATAATTTTTTGTTTACTTTTTACTGAACTGTACTGTAAAATGTATCATATGGTATGACATACAGTAGTAAAAATAAAGAAAAGCGACTCTCAATAATATACAAATAGCCTGAGAGGGATTTATCTTATTATTTGTACACTTATCTGTCATTCATTCATTCATTTTCTTGTCGGCTTAGTCCTTTTATTAATCCGGGGTTTGCCACAGCGGAATAAACCGCCAACTTATCCAGCAAGTTTTTATGCAGCGAATGCCCTTCCAGCTGCAACCCATCTCTGGGAAAACACTTATCTTTATAGAGTGCTATTTAGTTTAGATGAAATTATGACCAATCTTTTACCAATGACTTGTCAGACTTGTTGGACACTTTCATTAAACTGGATTGTCAAAACTTAATAACATCATAGTGTTTCAATAAAAATATGTGAAATATGTACCATTCTGAGATCTAATAGGGGCACATCATGGGTTTCACAGGGGGCTTCAGTCACATGATCTCGAATGAGTCCTTCAACTAATAAAATTATTATAACAAGAGGTTAATAGAAGAAGAAATGTTAACCATTTACTGCATATTAATTAAAGACAATACAAATTATATTCATTTTTGCCATGTGTGACAGTGAAAAAGAAGTCATGTCAACAACTCAAATACAGTCAAGTGTGTGTGCAGATAAAGAGAAACTTTAAATAAATTCTTACTTAAAGTTGGCCTTTTTTACAGAAAAAAAATCTGTAACACTACATATTGAGGGTGCATTAGTTAACGTTAATCAATGCATTAGTTAACATGAACTACCAATGAATAACGCATCCATTAAGCATTACATAACCTTTGTTAATGCTAACTAAACATTCATTTATGTGTTAGCTAAAGCATCAAACATGATCAAACAGTAAACAAGGACTTTGTTCAGCATTTCTTAGGCCCCTTGGCCCTTCTCCTTACCCCTGCCCCTCGATTTTCGCGTTCCCGTGAAGGGGTAGGGGTGTCCCAATTCTCTTTAGCTTGAAGGCGTGTCCAGAGGATCTAGCGAGACTTGGTGGTGTTTCAGTAGTGAACAGCTGTTCACTGTTACTAGAAATGTACAGCTACAAACCAAACCACCTTCAGATTGATGTGTTTCAACAGATATAGACAGTTTCTACTGTATTTTAAGTTTACATTTAGGGTTGGTTGTTTATTTTAATGGATATAGATCAATAGATGAATAGAAGTCTGATTCAAAGCTGCAGCAGTGTTTTTGCCATCTCCTGTAGTCCTGTCAGGTTCCTTTACTGATAAAAAGTCTCAAGTACTCAAGTACTAGAGTATTGAGTGAGC